TATGCAATCCGCTTCTCCTTCAAGGTCTCCAACAATGAGGCCGAATATGAGGCCCTCCTATGTGGCCTTCGGCTGGCTGCCAACATGAGGGCTCGGCAGATCCACATCAAATGCGACTCCAAGTTGGTCGTTGGCCAAATCTCCGAAGAATATGAGGCCAAGGAGGGGAGAATGAAACAGTACAAGGAAGCGGCCAAGGAGTTGCTTAAGGTATTTGAGACACACTCTCTCACTCAAATACCGAGGGCTCAGAACTCCGAGGCCGACATATTATCTAAGCTCTCGGCAGACTCCCCCGAGCACATCTCCAAATTTGCCAAAATCGAGGAACTCAGCCTCTCAAGCATCCATGCAAGCCCCGTTATGAACATACAACAAGGTCAGGAGGATTGGATCTCAGATATCACCGCCTTCATCTCCACAGGGCAGCTACCCGAGAATGAGGCCCGCGCTAAACTGGCAAAGCTGAGGGCTCCCAGCTACACCATCGAAGGTGGAAGGCTCTACAAACGGTCTTACAATGGCACGCTACTTCGGTGCCTTCATCCAGATGAAGCCGAGGTCGCAATGGAGGAAGTGCACAGTGGCACTTGCTCAGCTCACCAAGGACCCTTCTCCATGTCCCGAAGGCTCATTCTCCAGGGCTACTTCTGGCCAACCATGGCCAGGGATTGTGCTGACCTTGCCCGGAGGTGCACCGCATGTCAACATTTCCAGAAGGCTCCCGGCAGGCCAGCGGTCAACTATGCCCCCATCAGCACCTCTGTCCCCTTTTCTCGATGGGGAATAGACCTTGTGGGCCCTCTGCCGAGGGGCACCTCCAACAACAGATACATCATCGTGGCCGTCGACTACTTTACCAAGTGGGTGGAGGCTGAACCCCTCGCCAGCATCACAGAGGCGAAGTGCCGTCACTTCATCCTCAAGAACATCCTCACAAGGTTTGGCGTCCCCCAGCAGATCATCTCCGACAATGGGACACAATTTGAGGCAGCCCCCTTCTGTGCCCTTCTGGAGGCATGGGGCATCAAACACACCTTCTCCTCCGTTGCCTACCCTCAAGGCAACGGGCAAGTAGAGAATGCCAACCGGACCTTGCTCGAGGGCCTTAAAAAGAAGCTAGAGGCCGAGGGCGGTGGCTGGGTGGAAGAACTCCACAACATCCTTTGGGCCTATCGCACCACCCCTCGGCGAGCAACAGGTGAAACACCTTCTCCCTCTGCTACGGTTTCGAAGCCAAAGCTCCTACGAAAGTCACCCTTCCCACCCAAAGGGTGATCCAATATGACCCCGAGGTCAACGATAGCAACATGGCCCTCGACCTCCACCTCATTTCAGAACGCCGGGAGCAGGCCTTCATCCGGGCAGAAAACTACCGAAGGCAAGTTAAAAGCTACATCGACGCCAAAGTTCGCACCCGAGAATTTCAAGTGGGGGACTATGTCCTCCGGAGGAGGGAATCCAGCCAACCAACCGAGGGAGGAAAAATGGCACCAAAATTCGAAGGCCCCTACATCATAGCAGCCATCATCAAACCCGGGACCTACAAGCTCAAACGCCCCAATGGGAAAGAAGTCCCTAGGCACTGGAATGTACACCATTTAGTTAAATTTTATCAATAATGTAAGAGCGGCCAAGCCCTCATAACTAGTGATTATACTATCCTATGGCCCAAGGCCTCCAATTTCGAAGAATGAAGATACATTCAAGACATCAAGCCCTCATACTGACTACAGGCCCCAGGCCTCACCACGAGAAGAACCCCCTCCGACACCAAGTGCTGAGGGCGGACACCATCAACACCTACAACAAACAGTGAAAACACCACGTGTTTTCAGTCAAGACCCCTCGGCACCCAGTGCCGAGGGAGGGAACTCCTATCACCAACAACAAGGAACGCCATGTGTTTCATTCCCCTTCGGCACCCAGTGCCGAGGGTACATTCCCACCTTCATCATAAAAAAAAATGAGAACACGAAGTGTTCCTACAGAAGACCCTTCGGCACCCAGTGCCGAGGGTACATCTCCATCATCAAACATCGAAACGAAGAAAAAACACCAAAATGTTTCAAAGAAGACCCCTCGGCACCCAGTGCCAGGGATATGCTCTCCTATCAACTTCCAAACATCTGTTGGGAAACACCAAGTGTTTCATTTGAAGACCCTTCGGTACCAAGTACCGAGGGTAGACGCCTACATCAACTACGACAAAAGAGAACACCAAGTGTTCCTACAGAAGACCCCTCGGTACCAAGTACCGGGGGCTACACATCGAAACTAACACCAAGTGTTGTTTCTAAAAGCCGTACCCCACGAGGACGCATATACCGAAGGCGCCACCATCGGTGCCGGCGGCACGTAGTGCCCCCGGCCATTTGCAACTAGTGTGCAAATGAAAACCCTTCCTTGAAACGCTTTCCGCGTCACTACCCCCAGGGTATGACATGCATGAGAAATGCCCAGGATTCGACTTTCAAAAACGGAACGCTATCCGCGTCACTACCCCCAGGGTATGACAGGCATGAGAAATGCCCAGGATTCGACTTCCAAACCGAAACGCTCCCCGCGCCACCACCCCAAGGGTGTGGCAGGCCACGGACTATGTCTAGCGCCGAGGGGACGACTTTCAAAAATGAGGCGCTTTCCGAGCCATCCCCCAAGGGGAGGCAGGTTACGGACCACCATATCTTGTGCCCAGGAAACGTCCCTCGATCCCCTCGGAACTCGGAAGGTTAACCCGAGGGAGGAGAGCCATTGGTGTATTCTGATGGTCTCCTAATAGGCCCAACCTTACCAAGAAACCAAGTTTCTTGATGCCTTCCCTTCACCACCAACCAAAAAAAAAAAAAAAAAAGAGGGGGTGAAGGGGAGTAGACACAGCGAGAAATCAAAGAGTACACTCCAACAGATCACAACAAGCCGAGGGCTCCCCACGGGAACACCTCCGGTAACTGAAGGCTCCTATTTCCCGAAGGATACTACTCAAAAAAATATCATCAGGAAACGGCTAAGTCCACTACCTGGTCACCTCCGGTCACACAGGCACCGAAGGCTCCAACAAGGGTCGAAATCTACACCTTTTAAAAATTATGCCGAGGGCACACACTCATCGTTGGCATTCCTCACAACAACAGGATTCCACACATATTTGGCCCTCAGCCAGAGACTCATACAACACAAGGGATCTACATCCGGAAGCTCAACACCAATTTACGCTTAGAAAATATTCTAAGTCCTAAATTAGTAGCCCCCAGGCATCTCGCAAAGTAATGCAGAGTCAGATGGCACCTATCACCCGAAGGCTACACAAAGAAACAACACTTGAAAAAATTCCAAGTCCTAAAATTGGGCCCCCGGCTCAATCAACATTACAGCCAGGGGAATACAATAGCCGAAGGCTATGCGATACAACAACACTTGCAAACAAAAAAAATCTGTCCTAAAGATGGGCCCCCGGCTCAGTCAGTATTGCAACTAGAGGAATATGACAGTCGAAGGCCATACATCAAGAAGGGATGCCATCTCCCGAAGGCTCCCAAGGGAGATTTTACACTTAGAATATTTTCTAAGTCCTGCATATTTTCCCCCCCGGTCAGCTACTCATACATCATGGAGGGATGCCACCTCCCGAAGGCTCCCAAGGGAAACTCTACACTTAGAAGATTTTCTAAGTCCTACATATTTCACCCTCATCTCAAGGGACCTAAGTGCCGAAGGCTACCTATCAATCGAGGGCTACAGTACACAAGGAATCAACACTCAGGAAAATTTTCTAAGTCCTAAAGAATTGGCCCCCGGCCTATTCAATATTTCAGTTGGGGCTCCACAGTAGCCGAAGGCTACATGACATACTACACTTGCAAAAAATCTCTAAGTCCTGTGCATTGGGCCCTCGGTCCAACATTCACACATCAGGAAGGGATGCCATATCCCGAAGGCTCTCAAGGGGAAATCTACACTTAGAAATTTTTCTAAGTCCTAGGAATTGGGCTACCACAAACACCCGAGGGCTCCCATTACTGTGCTACACTTAGAAAAATTTTCTAAGTCCTAATTCCTGCTGAACCCTCGGTTGCATATCCAGCAGAGGGTGCCCAACTACCGAAGGCTTCCAGGGGCAAGCTACAGTCAGAAAATATTCTAAGTCCTAAAACATACATCCAAAAAGGAGAAGGCATACATCCAAAGCAAGACGAAGGCATATATTCGACAATGAACAAATCAAAAGGAAGCATATCATATACACAAAGCCCGAAGGCAATCATTCAATTACAACAAAAAAGAGTCAATGTAATCATTACAGACAGGCCGAAGCCGAAGGATCAGAGGTGTCCGTTACAACAGAAGTTTTAGATATTAGCTAAGTACAAATTTTCTCTGCGGCTTCAGCATCGTCATCTCCGGGGGCATCTTCTACGGCAGCTTTGGAGGAGACTTCTTCCCCGGCAGCATCACCTCCGACGGCTCCGCCCCCATCACCCCCATCATCACGAAATCATATATCATCGGCCGCTCTTCGCCCGGGGGGAGGGGAACTCTCACGTCTGGTTGCAGCGGGGGGAGGCCGTATGCCGAGGGGTCGAATTAATCAAGGGATACGCCGAAGTGCCTGGCGAGCCTCCGGTAAATCAGGTGCTGGGTAAAGAACTCACCCCCCTGGTAGTAGGCGTCGCCCCTATCGGTCAGCCAGTCAACCCCGGGGCTTTCAACCCAAGCATCCACCGAGGCTGCCACCACGGAGGCCACCCATTCCTTGTGGCCCTCGGTCCTCCAGCCCTCGGCGAGGAACTCAGCGACTGCCTCCCTTCGGGCCTCGGCCACAGCTCCCTCCTTGGCGATTTGGGCTTCATCGGCAGCTTTCTTCGCTGCCTCGGCAGCAGCCCTCTCGGCCTCTGCCTTGCCTTCGGCTATGCCGTCAGCCTTGGCCTTCTCCGCCGCCGCCGCCGCCTCCCGGAGGGCCTCCTCCAGCTGTGCAGCATGCTTCACCGCCTCGGAGTTCGTGCGGATCAGCACCTCCATCTTCTTATCTTGGGCGGCCTCGTGAAGGCGCCTTTCCTCGCGCCTCCGGGCCTGTTCCCCGAGGGCTATGCAGGCCTGCAAACAACGATCAAAGGAGTTAGATTATTCCTCGGGAAAAAATAATACTAAACTGATAAAGAGAAGGAAAAAGGAAGCAGATACTTACAGTGAGAGAGGACCGGAGGATCCTGTTCTCGAGGGCATCATCGTCGTAGGTCTCGAAGACTTCCCTGTCCATCTTCGAGGTGATGCCCCGCAGGAAGGCCTTCGGCTCGGCAGTGCCGTGCATCAATGAAGCGCCGGGGGCAAAGGAGAGCTGACGGATCTCCCGGGGTAATTCCTCCCGGGGGGGATTCACCGGATCCTTCGGGGGGACCGAGGCTAGAGGCCCATCAACAGCGGGCATGTCATCAATAACTATGAGGGGGCCGCCCCCCCGACAGCACCCCCGGAGCCTTTCTGCTTCTTGGTGGGGGGCTCCACCCCCTTGTCGCTCCTCTTCTTCTTAGCGGCCGCCTCGGCCTTCGACCCCCCGGTCCCCACAGCAGCATGGGCGTCCCCAGCGGAAGGCTCTATGACCTTCGGAAAAAGCGCGTCGACTGGCTTCTGGCCCGAGGGCCCCTTCTCCTTTGACTGGGTCTTGCCCTTCCTCTTTGCGAACAGGGCGTTGGCATTCATCCTGCTACCTGCAAAGAATAACAACAACAAGTTAAAAGGTTAGAACCGAGGGGTCAGACACACGACAACAAACATAACAAAAAATCTCTAAGTACGAAAATGTAAAGCCCCCGGCCACTACCTCCTGCTCCCACGAAGGCTTTATCGTAGAGAGGATACTTCTCATCGGTCTCCCCAATGAACCGGTACCGTTGGAACCCGAGGGCATGCAAGTCTTCCTCGAAAGTGCACTCTTTGATCGTCACGACCTTCTTCTTGCCCTCCGGGATCTTGGCGAGTTTCAGGCCATCCCTCTCTAGGGCGGCACTCCCCACCCTCTCGTGGCGCCGAAAGCGGTCCCGTAGCTCCCTCGGGAAGGGATTCTCGGACAACCGGACGTAGCACCATCTGTCTTTCCAGCCCTTGTTGGAAGAGGGTGCCTCGGTAAACAGCTTGAACTTCGCTACCTGCTGCAAATTGGCGAAGCCCTCGGCATTCGCGTGCCCCCCTCGGCACAAGTTGAAGCTTTGAAAGAAGAGGTCCAAGCTTGGGGTAACATCCCTCGTCCGGCACAGGTGCAGAAAGCCGGCAATGTATGAATGGCTGTTGGGGGTAAGTTGGCAGGGAATGAGTCCAACAAACCGGAGGTACTCCCGGAGAAATGGATGCAGGGGGAACCGGAGGCCCATGGACACTGACAGGATGTGGATGGCAATGCATCCCTCCGGAGGCCGGGACAGCAGATCATCGACGCCTGGCTCCACCACTACGGCCGAGGGCCCAACGTGCAGCTGCGTGACGTACAAGTCACCCCTGTCCGCCTTCGACTTAATATCGAGGGCCTCGGTGTTTAGCCAGGTATACCCCTCTGGCATTTCGACAGGCCCCCCAGCACCAGCGGCAACACTCTTCTTCTTAGGGGCAGCCCTCTGCGACTTTGTCTTCTTTTTACCAGGGGCTATCCTCAGAGGCGTCGGGTCCAACGGCCTGGAGGTACTAGGCTCACCACAGTCAGTCCGAGGGGGTGGCACAGCAACAGTAACCATCATCGCCTCCTTTTGGGCTTCGTCCTCCGCCACCTGACACGCGAGGGCTAGTTCTTCATCTTCACACTCCTGTTCGAAGCCCTCGGCTTCCACCTCAGCAGCAAGGGCCTTTTGCAACTCCAAGGCCACGGCTTCGTCATCGGCAACCGAGGGCGCACTGCTGCTTGACTCAACATCGGAAGCAACCTCATCCTCAACCGAGGGCTCCCTCGATATATTTTGGGAATCGCTCTCGGACGACATTCTTTGCCACAAAATGTGCCTAAGGTTTCGAAGGATTTCTACGGAACCCTAACCCTAAACTAAGGCCAGAGGGTGGAACTTGCAAAAAGTGTTGAGGAGCGAAGGGAGAACTAACCTCTGAAAGTGCTGTGACCGAGGGCTTGAGTTTCTCTCTCTAGAATTTTTGGCAGAGCTTCGCTAAGGATTTTTGGACGCGTAAGGAAGAAATGGCTCTGGCTCCGGGGTATTTATAGACCCCAGAGTCCGGGCTTGGGCCCGAAAACTGGGCCTCCGGATGGACGCCATCATTACGCACCGCGTCTTCGCCCAACCGGTGACGCCGCCCACGGACTGCCAGCCATCACACGCCACGTGTACCCCCCCCCCCCCCCCAACGGCTATGAACCTGACGTTACATATTCCAACGGCTATAAATCTGACGCTACATATTCCAACGGCTATATTCCCAACGGCTATATTCTGGAAGCCCTCGGGTTTTCTACTTCACTCCACTTCATCAAGGATAGCCTCCGGGTACACTTACCCAGAAGTGCCCCCGGGTTGCGCCCCACACAACACATAACAGACGCCTTCGGGATCACTCCTTCAGAAACCCAAGGCTTCATATCAGGGCACCCCTCGGGAATTCCCCCTCAGCACTGCAAAACCGGGTAGCCCCCGGGGAGTTGCCTTCATTGACGGATAACCCGTCACACACAGGTAATGGGAGCCCTCGGGTATCTTCATCGCCAACTAATCAACAAACAGTGGACCCCCCGGTAACAACTCCATTGTCGCCCTCATCCAGCAGGCCCTCGATCCCCGAATTGAGGGGCTCCCATTCGGCGCCACCAGGACATCAACAGCAAGCCTTCGGCTAATCAACACAGGAGCCCTCAGAAGAGAGAGCCTTCGGCATTCCCATCATTCTCCACTTTATACCAAGGTTTGACATTTTCGATTCATCATTGGGGGAATTCGGTGCACTCTTTTTCCCTCATTAGGATTTTTTCCCAAAGGGTTTTTCCCAATGAGGTTTTTAACGAGGCATCCCCCCAAAATGAAACGAAAAAACGACAGCCTTCGGCCCACAACAGCAACGCAACTACTCTACTCCTTGTCACCACTTTACAAGTGCCTCAAGGAGTGGGGGACTGGAGGACCCCCTCGGGAAAATCATTAAATTACAAAAGATGTAGAAACTCCAACAAACAACAAAGCAAGCCCTCAAGTCCCGACATGTGGGTAACTGAGGGACTGCCTTCGGCAGGGACATAAAAGCAACAACTCCTCACCAACTTCAGAGATCACGACGGGACAACATCAAAGGGCAAGCACAAATTACTCATTTTCCCTCAAGTACCTTTCGGCAAAAGGAGTGAGGGACTCCTGATGGAGTATATGGCCCGGGAACCCCCGGCCCACAGACTCCTACTACTCCAGCGAAGGCCCAACAGGCCCAACAGGCCCAAATCACAGCGCCCAGAGTACCAAGCAGTCCGCACAACACGCCAGGGGTGCCTTCGGCCCCCTGTCCGAAGGCTCCAAATTCTCACAGAACGGGTTTCTCAAGCAAATTAAGAAACTGGGAGAAAACGGCGAAAACAGTAGCCCTCGGCTACTGTGAGCCCTCGGCACCAGGGTGCCATCGGGTGGAAGAGCCCTCGGCTACTGCTCTATAGCCGAAGGCATCTCACTCGACAAGATATCCGCCTCACATGCGTACATATCACCGTACCCCGCACAGACGTCCCATCCAACAGCCGCATTAAATGCGGCCACATGCGGCTGCCAGCGCCAACCAGTTGAGATGACCCCTCGGCCAATAAGCGCTTGACACGTGTCCCTGCCCGGCATTTATTGCTACTATAAATAGCACCCCATTTCCTCATTTGTAACCACGCTGAAAACGGCATTCATACTGAATACACTCTCTCTCTACTTTTATTTATTTGCTCTGACTTCTCTCTAGGTTACTCCCCGTAATAACCCTTCGGATATATACCCCGGATAGACGATCCATCATATATATATATATATTGCTCTGTAAATGGTTTCAGTTCAGATTTGGTGCAAATTTTCCTTAGTCGGTTATGCACATATATATCTGATCGTATCTGCAGAAAACCTTAGGTAGCCAATCGATTGACTTCTGCTTTCCTCTCAGCACTAATGGTTGGATTAATGTTTAGGCTTAAAGGTAACTTTGTTGTTTTGATCGGTTTGGCTTCTAACGCATACACCGGCCGCTGGTATTCGGTCATAAGATTATTATGTTAGTTATTATTATATTAATATATTACTCTCTCCGTCCCCCTGTTATTGTCCCATTACGTTTTACGATGTTTCACTGACAATAAAGCAAATAGATCCCTGTCTGCACTCAAATCATTTTTTTTTTTAAAATGCATACTCAGAAACTACATTAAAAGATTTACAAAGTCGCAAAAACAAGAATCAAATTTGATAAAAAATTGATACATAAAGTAAGAGATTAACAGTGATTTCTGTTGACCAAGTGAATAGGAAATGATACAATAACAGGGGGACGACGGAGGGAGTATCTTATGTGAGCCAGATATTGCATATATGTTGTACACGTATATTTTATGTGTATACATATTGTTGGTCCAAAATAGGACGCTCGTAGGCTTTTAGGAAAGCTACGTACGACACTCAAGCAAGAATTAGGAAAGTACGAATATGGAAAGTTAGCCAGAAATAGCATATAGAATCCGTTCCTAATCTGAATTACAACTCGCCTTTTATAGGCGTATACAAATCGTAACTGTTACCGATAATAATGACTAATTAATTACAACATTAATACGAAATTAAATTCATAATTAATAGCGCATTAATTGCTTGACCGTTACTCTTCCGGGCTGGGAGGTCGGCCGGACTTGCAGGTTCCCCGTTGGGCTGGCAAGCAGGCTCCAGGTTGTGGACTTGGATCCATGGGTCCAAGTTCGGGGTTTGGGCTGATTAGGCTCTGGGCCTAGTCCCATTACTCCATCACATATTATTATATTGTTGTGTACGTAAATTGAATAGTCAACAACTTAAATATTAATATTGATATGATGTTTTTCTTCCCTATAAAGTTTTCCATCCGTCTAAGTTCGATAATTGTATTTTAATTTATCTCACTCATTTAGTCATGATTTATTTTATCAGATAAATTTTATCTGTTTTTTTGTTATTTTCTCAAATTTATTTTGTATTGATACTTTAATTTCTTATTTCTTATTTTATTTTTGGTTTAAATTTTTGGGGTATCACATTCTACCCTCCTTAAAAGAATGCTTCGTCCTCGAAGCATAAGCTAAGACGAAAGAGTTTTATACTTAACTCATTCTCAAAACTTTATATTATTACAAGATATTACATTATACCCCCCTTAAAAGAGGGGTTACGTCCTCGTAACCAAGAGTTTACCTCAAATAAAGAGTTCAGGATACCGGCTTCGCATATCCTCCTCGAGTTCCCACGTGGCATTCTTGGTCAAAT